TCCCCAAGAGCAGCTGTGAGGCCTCCGTGACTCAGTTGCTGAAGGGACGGAGCAGGAGTGACAACGAGGACCCAGGACCCAGCATGCAACAGCAGGCATCCCCCAGGGGCTGGTCTGGGGCTGAGAGCCCTTGCTTGTGAGGAGGCAATTTCAGTAAGTGGATAGACTCAGTCCAGCCTACTTGTGTAAACTTTCCCTGCCAATGGCTTCTGTTCTCTTCAGAGCACAGGAAGAAAAGAAAAGAAAAAAAAAAAAAAAAGAAAAGAAAATTCCAGGCCATATTCCTAAATTTCAGAGTTTAAATAGGGTTCGTGTGGATCAAAGAAGAAATAACTGACCGGTCAGCAGAATCCAGATCCCGGACAATTGTGATGTTATTAAACTTGACTTCTTGAGTTAAGGTTAAAAGGTCAATCACCAATTCAACAATCAGCTCTTGCCAAAAAGTTTCAAAAGCAAAAATCATTAAGATAGTTTGCAGGCCCCCTGCCAAGAGACTAGGAAGAGAAGTCCTCTTATCAGGCCTCCTATCCCTGCTTCTCTCGGTGACTACATGAAGGTCCGTTCTCCTTAGACACCTGCCATCCCCCAACTCCCATGCAGCTCAGTATACCCCTGCCTCAGTGGACCCCCCCACCGTCTGCCGCACGTGCGCCCCAATCAGCCATCAGAAGAGAGCTGCCTCCCCTCCCCTCCTCCATCCTCACAATTCCCAGGTGGATCTCCTTCTGTCTTCTCTCCACCATCCACGATGGCAAGGGACCACTCCTGTAAGCCCAGGTCTGCTCCAATCCCGCTCAACTGTCAAGGTCAGCCTTCCTTCCGTTCACGCTTCGATCACTGGTCTTCCATCGACCTCTGCCTCTCTCCCTCATTCCCACCAGCAGGCAGACATCTAGGATCTTCGATCTTTACATCCCCAGGCAACTCCCTCTACTAGCTACTGTCCCAGTATTCGCTCCCTTTTCTATCCTAGAAAAACTTACTGCATCATCTGCACCCCTCTCTCGACTTTCTTATCTCTACTTCCCTCTTCAGGCCTCCCCCAGCCAAACTGCACCCCTGTCATTCCCCTGGAAAGCCTTATCAAGGGTTGGAGGGCAATATGAGCTTTCCCTCGCACCAATGGCCGTCACGTTGCCAAGTCATTGGGGAGGTGTCTGCTCCTTGATTTCTCCGGAACCTCTGATGCCTCTGCCTTCTCTTGACCCTCTCCTCCACAGATCTCCCAGGTCCCTCATTTTCCTATGTCTTCTGCTACCACTCCTTCACAAACTGCCCCCACCCTGAGGCTCACACCTAAATATTAAAGGACATCTCAGGGGATTGGTTCCGAGTCCCTTCTCCCGTCCTCACTCGCTCCCCAGGTGTTCTCGACCAGCTGCAAACACCCATGCTCTCGACTCCACATGCGCCGCGCGTTCCACCTCTTGTGCAGCCAAATGCCTATTTCACTGGAGTGACCTAAAGGCATTCAGCTGTGATGGCCAGGCCAGAACACTGGATCCCCCCCTTCTCCCTACACCTGCCCCTCCTCCAATTCTCCTGATCTCGGGAAAAGATGTTTCTATCTGCTCAGCAGCTCAGACCAAACATCTAGGACTCAACCTTGATTCTGCTCTTTTTCCCACTCCCAAATTCCATCACCATCGAGCCCACCCTCTCTGCCTTCAAAATATATCCCCAATCCAGGGACCCCCTTCCCTGCCACCTCATTCCAAGCCATCACCATCCACGTCTCTGACTTCTAAATGACCTCCTAACTAGGGCCCCTCCTCCATTTCTGCCCTCTGCCCCAGAGAGACCATTCTCTACATAGCAACCGCAAAGCTCTTCTTAAAATCTCAAACCAGGGCACCTGGGTGACTCAGGTGGTTAAGCATCTGACTCTTGGTTTCAGTTTGGGTCATAATCTGGGGTTTGTGAGATCGAGCCCCTTGTCAGGCTCTAGAGTCTGCTTAGGATTCTCTCTCTCCCTTTCTGGCAACCCCCCCCCCAGTTGCACGCATGTTCCTCTCTAAAAAATACTACTAATAAAATAAAATAGAAAGTAAAAAAATCAAATCTCAAGTCAGCTCATGTCACTCCTCTGCTGAAAACCCACTGGTGGCTTCGCATCCCAGTTGGAAAGCTGATAATGACCTACAAGATTCACCCCCACCCACACCCCTCATCTCACTCTTGACATAATCTCTCACCACTCCCCTCCAGCCGCACTGGCTTTCTTTGCTGATCTCAAAACACAACAAGCTCATCCCTCCCAGACATGTCACACAGGCTATTCCCTTTTCCAGAATGTTCCTTTTCCCAGAACTTTATGTGGCTGTCTCCTTCTGGGCACATCTGGTCTGCAGAGAGGGCTCCTCTGATTAAAAATAGGCTCTAACCCCAAGGAGACACCGCTTCACACACTGGGATGGCTATTATAAAACCAACAAAACAAAACAAAAGCAAGAGTTGGCAAGGATGTGGAAAAATCAGAACCCTTGTGCATTGTTGACAGGAATGTAAAATGGCGCTGCCGTTGTGGAAAAGTCTGGTGGTTTTCTGAAAATGAAACATAGAATTCACTTATGACCCAGCAAATTCCACTTTTGGATATCGACTGCAAAGAAGTAGAGTCACACATATTTGCACAGCCACGTTCCTAGCAGCATTATTCACACTAGCTGAATGGTGGCAGCACCCCACGTGTCCATCAGCAGAGGAACGGATGAAGGAAATGTGGACTCTAGACCATGGAGTACTATTCAGCCCTAAAGAGGAAGGAAATCCCCACACAGGGCGCAATGAGGATGAACCTTGAAGGCATCGTGTTAAGTGAAACAGACCAGTCACAAAAGCGACTCTACTTGGGTGAGGTACCAAGTGGCATCAGATGTATAGGGATAGAAAGTAGTCTGGTGGCCGCCGAGGGCTGGGAGTGAAGAGGGGAATGTGGCGATATCGGCTAATACGTACGGAATTTCAAAAGTTTCACGAAAACTTTCTGGAGACAGACGGCGGGGTTGGCTGTACAACATGAAGGAACTTCACACCGCTGACCTCCCCCCGACGGGACACGGAAAAATGGTTGCCATGGTACATTTCATAGTGGGCATATTTTACCCCAGCAGAACAGTTTCTACAGAACCTTTTGTTCCAGGAACTCAGCATCTATACTGACATCTGGCAAACTCAGTGGCAGCTCCGTAGTGAGACTCGGGTGGTGCTGACATGGGAAACAAAGGCAGAATTGACAAGTCCTTGAAACAGACAAGAGGGACCTTCCTCTAGGGACCCAACTGCCTCCATGTTGACACTTCGCTCAGGGCAAAAGGCATTCCTAGCCCCCCCCCCCCCCCCCAACCCAGGATCCTGTAAGCCAACTTTAACACATAAAAATTCTTTTGGAAACTTCCTTTATCTCTAAACCCCCAAGATACGTGTTAACAATCATCCCCCAAGCATAGGACCCACAGATACACACCTGAAGGGTCTCACGATGCGGGTTTTATTAAACAGTAACAAGTGACCTTTTCCCAACAATAGCTGGCCCCTCAAGGTCCTGGAAACCTTGCCTCCAAAATTCCCAAGGGACTTAGGCTATCCTCCCAACTTGAAAGTATATAATAGGCCACTCCTCATGACCCCAGCGTAGCTCTTTTGGCTCATGGGTCCTCCCCCTGTGCTTTAAGAAAATCACCTTTTTGCACCAAAGACATCTCAAGAATTCTTTCTTGGCCGTCAGCTTCACACCCTAACATCTTCCCTCCATCAGCAGGCGCCAGCGCCCATCAGGAGACCACCTGGAGGACGTGCCCCTGCGGCGGGCAGCACGCACCCCCTTCCTACTGGAACGGCCCAGATCCTGTATTTTCCTGTAAAATCCATTGACCTGCTACTCAGGCCTGGGTCTGCAGTGCTGAAAGCATTAGCCCACAGCAGCCGCCTTTGCCTGGCAAAGTAACAAAAATGACTGTTCCTCTTTGTCCCCAATCTCTGTCTTTGGCCGCTGGAGCACAGAGGTCAGTTTGCAACGTCACTGGTGGGATATAGAGAGAAACAGGGGCACCGATCAGACCTACCAGGCAGCCACCCTTGGGAATGGAGCAGCTCTTTTCTTTTATATTTTTAAAGATTTTATTTATTTATTTATTTATTTGAGAGAGACAGAGAGGGGGAGAGAGCACTTGAGCAAGCACTGGTGGGGAAGGGAGAGAGAGAATCTCAAGCAGACTCCGCAGGGCTCGATCTCACGACCCTGAGATCATGACCTGAGCCAAATCCAAGAGTCCGAAGCTTCACCAACTGAGCCCCTAGGCTCTTTTCTTCAAGCCAGGAACATACCACCCCGGGGCCTCACACCCCTCCCTGGTGGGGCAGGATTTCAGAGCAAGTGGCATTTTACTGTCGCACCTTGACCACACCCACAAGCGCACACCAACTGGGCCTGACATTCTCTCCAGGAAAAATCTCCTTGAAATGGTTGCGAAGCTCCTAATTTACCCTTCTCCCCAGGAGATGGCAAACACTTCAGCCAAACCGAAAACTCTGGGACTCAACCAGGGGCCTGACGACACAGACGGCTGATTGCGAATGCGATCTTTTCTTGCGACACATCAGTTCTATCCACCAAGGGGAAGACGGGGCCACGAGTCACTGTCCCATACAAAGCCTCACGCCGGGGCAAGGGAGAGCAAAGCCCAGGAGCGTGGAAGGTTCGTGCAGGCTCCCAGCGTCTGCATGACATCAAGAACATGAGCTTTGTTGAGCTTCTCGCAGCCTAGTAGCTGGGCCACTTCTCACGCAGGCCCACCAAAATGTTATCTTACAAAATCTAAACATCGACTGCAGATTCTGCTGCGTTTTACAAGTCGGTGGAGGTAGGTGAAAGGAGGCAATGGGAGAAGGCGGAGAAAACCTAAGAATTTAAAGGAACACACCACACACACGGTGTGCAAACACGAGGTGTTAGGAAGGGGCGGAGAAGCAGACATGCACAGCACACACCCCGGTACCTGCACAGGCTCAGGCTTCGGAGGCCACAGGACGACGTCAGGCAAGCTGGAGTTCTCTTGCTGAAAGCAAAGGAGTCTCACCATTAGGAGGGGCCACAGCGAACAGAAAACCCGAGGCACCAGAGGGACAGCCTTGGCTGGTTTCTGTTCCTGCTGGCTGTACTTCCACCCTGCCCACGGCTACCAGGGGACATTGGTCACCAGAGGGAAAGGCACATGCAGCCTGAGGCTGTAGGAAGATGGCAAGCGTGGGCCCTGGGCAGGCCTGTCCTCATCCTTTGCCCTGATGACGCGGCTGGTCCTTGGTGCCCAGTCTTCCATCTCTGTACAAACAGGTCCTCCAGACCCCTGTCTTTCCTTGGTGAGTTCACATGTAAGCAGAATGCTGGGACCTCCAAGTGCATCTACACAGAGGAAGAGCTCTGGGGGAGGCCTGGGGGCATGGATGCGGTTGCAGGGAAGGAAGCATGGAGGCAGAGAAACTGGTTTGGGGCAGCCTGCCCTGATCCAGGTGTGGGGTAATAGGGTGTGCGGTGGGGGTGGGGAGGGAAAAAAAAACTGTTAGGAAAAAAACTACATCTTGGGTATGTGTTACATGTCCATCTTTTAAGGAAGTGCTCTGACAGGGATTGGGCCGTCACCCCCCCCGGGGCCCACCTTTCCCCTGCATAACTCAGGCTGGCCAATCAGAGTGTCCACATCCGGTGGCACAGTGACCGGTCCCAGACAGGGCATGTGACACCATCAGGGCCAGACCTCAGGGCGTGCTGATCGCCAGGATAGACCATTAACGGGAGGAAGTCTAGATGCCTGGAACAGCCAGTGAGGTTTTTAAATTTTGTTTTGTTCTGTTTTGTTTCTCCCAGGCTGAGGGCCCCTCCCTGAGCACCCAGGCATCACCCAGGAGGAGAGCAGAGCAAGAGCCAGAGAAGACAGAGTGCCAGAGTCCTCTTCTGAACGTCTGCACTCAGGGACTGCTGAGCAGAGCCCCTCTCTTGGGACTTCCTAATTCTATAAGCCAAATAAGCCTTCTCTGCTTATGGTCATTGGAGATAGCTTTCTGGGTCTCACAACTGAAAAAAAAAAGTCCTAATTATCCTAATTATATAGAAACTTGAAAGGCTAAATGGCCAGGCCATTCATTTATTAGTTACAAATCATAGAGCGACTTATTAAATGGGGAGAATGGGAGTGAGTGGAGTCAGAGGTGACCCCCAGATTCCTGTATTGGATGGTAGGGTAGATGATCATGGTTTCTGGGAGTGGGGGACACAGGAGGAGAAAAGGATGGGGAAGAGGAGCTTGGTTCAGGTTTGAGGAATGTAGGGTGACAGTGGATGTTTGGGAGACAGTGGAAAGATGAGTCTGGAACGCCAGCCCCATGGGGGAGCCCCAATCCTGTAGCTGCATGTACTTGTGCTTCATCCCCCTTGTTTCTCTGTGGAAGGCAAAACTTGACCTGACCCTGGAGTCCTAGAGGTAATGCCGTCCTGCCCCACTGGGCCATGTGTGAATGCGGCTGCAGTTGTGAGAATTCGCAATGGCAGGAAGACAGCTCCTATCTGCTCCTGGAGGGAACTGGAGAGGGAGGACAGGGTTGGGGTCTAGCAGGAATTGAGAAGTAAAGATCTAAAATACTGAACTATATTCATTGCTTGCAAGGATATAGTAAGATTTGAAACCCCTTGTACCCTGATGAGAAAAGTATAAATTTGCATCACCTTTCTGGAAAGTACTTTGTACGTAGATATAGAGAGATCTAGATCTAGTTCCATAACAAGAGTTTTGAAAATGCCCTTTATTTGACCTTGCAATTCCATCTCTCTGAGTCTCTCCTGAGTAAACCAGCCTCCAATTCTGGACATGCCATTTAGTAAACGTGAAGAAAACATGTAAGCCACTTTAATTTGCCTGTATTCAGGTAGAAATTCATCTCGGATTCAAGAAGTTCAGCCACTGCTCCAAGGAGGTCTCTTCAAGCAGGTAAGACAAATGTTCCTCTGTTCTACATTTTCTCAGCCTTGGCACCTTTGACATTTTGAGAAGATTAATTCTGTTGTGGGGCTGTCCCTGTGACCCCTACTAGTTACCAGCAGTACCTCCATTCTGTAGCTGTGGTACCAAACCTGCCTGCAGACATGGACAAATGTCCTGGGGTGGCAAACACCCGCACTGAGAACCAGTGCTCTGTCGTATTTGTAGCCAGGAGTGGAGCTTGCTGGTGGTTTGGGGCCCACAGACCTGCAAGCGTTTAGAGAAGGTACTGATTCTGAGCCGCTTGGTTTGTTAATCAGCAGAACTAAAGGCCAGAGTCTAGTGCCTGTACTGAGTCTGCACACAGAAGGCACTGAACCAATGGCCATGGTCTTCTTCACTCTAAAACACAAGATAGAACATTCCTTTAAGTTAGAGGTTACAAAGAGGTAGGGCCTAAGCCAACCCCAGCCAGCAGGAGCATCTTTTTGGCTCACAAGATGTTTAAAAATAATTTAAATTAGTTGTCAACATTTTGAAAATTATAAAATTTCTTTACAAAACCTCTTCTAATAAAATAGGAGAAAGCACTCCCCAACTCGTTTTACGAGATTAGTTTTTTTTTCTTAAGATTTTATTTATTTTTTTTTACAGAGATAGAGATCACAAGTAGGCAGAGAGGCAGGCAGAGAGAGAGGGGGAAGCAGGCTCCCTGCTGAGCAGAGAGCCCAATTCAGGGCTCGATCCCAAGACCCTGCGATCATGACCTGAGCCGAAGGCAGAGGCTTTAACCCACTGAGCCACCCAGGTGCCCCATGAGATTAGTTTTAACATGATACCAAAACCAGAGAAAGAAAGGAAAACCACCAAGCAATGTTTATCGTGAATTTGGACACAAAAATCCTCAATAAAATGTTAGCAAATCAAGCCTAACAGTCTTTATAATAATTATACACCATGACCAAGTAGGACTAATTCTAGGTGTGCAAGACTGGTTCAACATTAGGAAATCAATCAGTGTACTCTAACCTATCAATAGCCCAAAGAAGAAAGAAAGATCATACAGCTACATCAATTGACACAGAATAATAAAAAATTTTTGAAAAAATGCAATGCCCAGTCATGATAAAAATCTTTAGCAAACTAGGAATGGGGGCGGATCTTCCCTAACTTGACAAAGAAATTTATGGGGGGGCCTCGTTGTCTTAGTCAGTACAGCACGCATCTCTTGACCTCAGTGTCATGAGTTCAAGCCCCACATTGGGCCTAGAGCTAAAGAAAAGGGAGGGAAGGAAAGAAGGAAGGCAGACAGGCAGACAGGCGGGTGGGCAGAAGGAGGAAGAAAGAAGGAAAGAAAGAAAGTTAGTATAAAGAAAGAGAGAGAGAGAATTTACAAAAACCTGCAGTTAATATCTTACTTAACAGTAAAAGACGGAATACTTTTCCTCCACAACTGGGAACCAGGTAAGGATGTCCACTCTGACCTTTTCTAATTAACATAATATTGGAATTCTTAAACCACAATAGTAAGGCAGGAAAAAGAATAAAAAAAAAAAGAAATGCAACTCTCTCTAGTTGCAAATACCATGATTGCCTAGATAGAAAATCCCAATTAATCTACAAAAAAGCCTTTTGGAACAAATAAGTGAGTTTAGCAAAGTCAAGGCCACAGGATATAAGATCAACACAAAAAAAATCAATACACTAACAATGAACATGTGGAAACCAAAATTAAAAACACAGTACTATTTATAATTACTGCAAAGAAAATGAAATACTTAGGCATACACTTAAAACATAGGCAGTATCTATATGCTAAAATTTATAAAAACGATGATGAAAGAAATTAAAAAAAAAAGCACTGTGTGTTTGCAGACTAGAAGACTCGTCATAGTCGAGAAGTCAATTTCCCCAGTGTATCTATAGGTTTAATGTCATCCCTGTCAAAATCCCATCACATAATTTTTTAGACACAGACAAACTTATTCTAAAATTTATATGGAAGGTTTTAAGTCCTAGAAGAGCTAAAACAATTTTGAAAAGTAGTCGAAAGGAAGAGCACTTAGTATGTAGCAGCAGTAATCATGACTATGTGGTATTAGCAGTAGAGTAGACATCGATCAATGGAATAGAAAAGAGAATCCAGAAACAGACCCACACAAATACAACCAACTGATTTTTGGCAAAGATGCAAAAGCAGCTTACTAGAGAATGAATAGTGTTTTCAGCACATGGCAGTGGAGAGATGGCCACTTACAGGCAAAAGAAAACAGAAAGAAACATAGAAAATGAACTTCAACCTAAATTCACACAAACATGAGTGCAAAGTGGACCATGGGCTTAAATATAAAGTGTCAAACTATACCATTTTTGAAAAACATAACATAGGAGAAAATCTTTAGGACGTAGGGGTAGAAAAAGAATTCTTAGATTTGACACCAAAAGCATCAGACTCGGCAAAAAAAGGAAAAGGAAAGACTGATCAAATTGCACCTCAAAAAACTTTTGTTTTGCAAAAGACCCTGTTCAGGTGATGAGAAGGCAAGCTACGAGTGGAAGAAAATATTTGCAAACCACAATCTGACAAAGGATTAGTATCTAGACTGTATAAAGACTCTTAACAGTTTATTTAAAAAAAAAAAAAAAACAATTAGAAAATGCATAAAAGACATGAACATATTTTTCACCGAAGAGAACACATAGACAGCAACAAGCTCATGAAAGATCAGCCACAAAGGGAACAAGCATCAAAATCCAGGAGGTGCAGAGAAGCCCCCTCAAAATCAACAAGAATAGGTCCACACCCCATCACCTAATAGTAAAATTTACAAGTCTTAGTGACAAAGAGAAAATCCTGAAAGCAGCCCGGGAAAAGAAGTCTGTAACGTACAATGGTAAAAATATTAGATTGGCAGCAGACTTATCCACAGAGACCTGGCAGGCCAGAAAGAGCTGGCATGATATATTCAGAGCACTAAACGAGAAAAACATGCAGCCAAGAATACTATATCCAGCTAGGCTGTCACTGAAAATAGAAGGAGAGATAAAAAGCTTCCAGGACAAACAAAAACTGAAAGAATTTGCAA